GCAATGCAGACCTGTAGGCAGAAGACAGAAAGAGCAAAGGGAAGGAGAATTTATTCTGCCCTAGAACAGAGAGGGGTGTGTGGGGGTGGGGTAGGGTCATGCTGCAGGACCATAGAACTAGAAAAGGAAAAGCATTTAAAGATGATAAATCATCTGGGCTGATGAGTACATGTTTATGCCATCATTGATAATTCAGAGTATGTGAACAACAAGCTGGGTTCAATTTTATGTAACCAATACACAGACAATAGTCATCGACAGTGTAAATATGAGCTGTGAAGCTGGGTACAACAGTGTTGTGCTGTTTTGGGGGATGCTAGCAATATTTACCAGATAAGCCCACACTCAAATATGTGTGGGAGGAGGAAAGATATAAGACAATCCCAGCCATTGCATAAGTTCAAGGTGGATTTCTTTATGTTTGAAGCTCTATGAAAGTTACATTGAAACTAAATGGAAAAGTTCAGTATTAGTGGAACTACAAGCTGTTTGTGGGCTATGAGTTGGGCTGTTTAGGATCATTTAGCTCATGCTTATATTGGCATTTGGCACAGGAAGGCATCTAGACCATAAGGATGGTATGTATTGAAGGAGAGTCCCACCATAGTCCCCATTGTCTTTAGTGTCTGGAGATAATCTCACCGTCAAGGATGCCATTTCCACACTGATTTTCTTTAGACCCCCTTCCATTTGTTTGTGTGGTAGAAAGAAAGGGCAGCACACTCTCATCCAGCAAATATTTAAAATCAGTTCTACAGAAGACTCATGATAGAACATTATTCAAGAAGAATTCTTCCACTTTCTTTTAGAATCCATGGAGACCTCCTACTGACAACCACATTCAAACTCTAAATATCAAATGACTCAAGCAGTGACTACATTGGGATTACTCAGATTTATAGAGGACATGCTTGCCAAAATCCTGAGCTGTTCCTTCCTTCTTTCTCTCACCCTTTTGTAGGTTACAAGAACGAGGTCACCCCACGTGCTTCAGGCAGCAAGACAGAAAGTCATGACCTACTTCTCCTCCTTAAAAAATGTGACAGGCTAGAAGTCCCGATGAGCCCCAGGGCAGTTCTCTGACTTCTTTTACTGTCACAGGCCTGGTAGTTCCAAGACTCATAGGCAGCTGATAAGGAGGCTGGGCATGGTTTTCCAGAAGACAGCTATGTTTGGCTAAATCATCTTGCTCAACCTCTATTCTTTCATTCACGTGGAGTAATGGGATCTGCAGTAAATCTCACCAGATAGGTCTCCGAGGGTTTCTGAGTTATTTCTGAGATTTTGAAATCATCTGCTTTGTACCTTTGCAAAATGACTATTGGAACTGAATCAGCAATTGGATTGGAAATAGTTTCTGCTGTAATCACTGGCTACACGTAATGATCATCCACTTATTACCATATCAAAGTTTCCACTCTTGCAAAATAAATCAAAGAGGCAGATCACATCTAAACAATTAAATTTCACTTTCATCTTTATGACACACTGTAACATTGTGGAATGATTTTTATTGGTTTCTAAAATTCCATGTTTTTAATTTGTACTGAGCCCAGAAATTTAAATTTTAATTTATGAAATTAGCTTGTCTTGAAGAAAATGCTAGTTCCAACTGTGGATAAGTGTTGGAGGAAATGGCTGAATCTGTGTTTTCTTTATCTTCTCTCTCTCTCTCTTTTGTGGAACCAATAATGATAATAAAAGAAGAAAAACACATGCACAACACACAACAATACATTAGTTAGAATGATAAATTGTCATGATCTCAGGGCCTCTCTTCAACTCTATCATTTAGTATTTTTTTTTCTGATTCATTTTTAATTAATGGTATTGAGCACTAGATATTAAACTCCAGTGAGCCTCTGTGTGATGATGAAAGAGATGGGAAGACAGTGATGAGAATTTTACCTGGGTTGGGAAGTATGTGAGGTGACAATACAAGACGGTTTGTGACTGTTGACTTCTGAAGGACTCCTAGAGCCATAGTCTCAACATTCTAAGAAGTATTCTATAATTCTGATTTTCTTTCCTGATGTATAATTGACTTATAATTTGTGACCCATTTATAGAGGCTGGATAGTAGTTGAAAAATATCTGAACACAGACTATATGAGAATAGTTATTGTATCATTGGTTAGTCCCTGTGGTTGGGGGATATCAGTCTATTCAGTCATTTCTGTTAGAGATCGACCCTACTTCTTCCGAGTCGTCCTCTTGCAGATGGCAGGCCATCTGACCTAATTCAAGCACAAGTGGAGTTCAGAGTTGTGCACAGTCCACAGCTGGGCAAAACACAGCCCTGTGTGAGGCTGAGTGTTTGGTTACTATGTGATGAGTTCTCTTATGGAGGGAACAGGGTCAAAATTCTTTTACTAGGTTCACAGTGCCCTAAGTTGGCATAGTGATGTGTATTTGGTATGGTTAACACATTATCATGGCCTTGAAGCATCATGTTCTTACATTTTTTTAAAGAAAGTTTTATTTATTATGTATACAATGTTATGCCTGCATGTATGCCTGCCTGCATGCAAGAAGAGGGCACCAGATCTCATAGATGATTGTGAGCCACCACCATGCGTTGCTGAGAACTGAACTGAAGACCTCTGGAAGAGCAGCCAGTGTTCTTAACTGTGAGTCATCTTTCCAGTCCCATCACATTTTAATAGTGAGGAATATTTGGCTTGGCCATTCTTGTTGTTGTTATTGTTTTGTGTTTTGAGACAGGGTATCTTTGTGTATCCCTGGCTGTTCTGGAACTTTCTCTATAGACCAGGCTGATGTCAAACTCATAGAGTTATGTTTACCTCTACCTCCTGAGTGCTGGGATTAAAGTCATGTACCACTATGCCTGGTAACTTGACCATTTTAAAATATCATATACACATTCACTCATTCAATAACTATTTATTTTGTGCTAAAGAATGTATGAAGACCAGTTCACCATTTTCTCATAGACGTCTTCTGGCCCTAACTGGGCTGTGAATCCCTTCTGAAGCAGAAAGAATACACCGTCTTCATCTTTCTGTCTCCAGGCATCCTGTAGAGGACACTCAGCCCATGTCAAAGGCATACACTGCATGTATGAAAAACAGGCTGCAACCAGGCCAACTGTTTATGCCCGTGACCCAGATACTCATTTGTAGGTCTTAGTCATCTTTCATGTTAGAATTTAAGCACAACGAGAATGCAAATGCCTTCTCCCTGAAGAATACATTTGGCTGCAGGATGATGTTAGACCTTTCGTTTAGATTAAATATATAATTTATATGCTTATATAAAAGGAAGATGAAATCAACAAATATAAACTCTATAGGGACTCAGGAGTTTCTGAATGTGAAAATAACAGTTTAAAAGAGAACTCAGAGCCTCTTTCAGGCAGCCCAAGGAAATTGAGGAAAGAAATCCAAACATGCAGAAGGTTTTAGGGCCGAACATTTTGATTCAATATGTTCTGCTATAAAATATTTGGCCTCGTTAGAGTGTTTCTCATTCTGTGTTCCCAGGCTGTACTTCACAGTGAGAAAAACAAATAAGATGGTGATGTGCAAAATGCTTTTTTCAAGTGTGTGGCAGGGAATTTGAGAAAACACATATTAAAGGAGTATCCTGTAATGTTTAGGTGCCCCTTTTCAGAGGCCTCCTTCAGTCAGTTTGGTTCCATATTTATTGTATTAAGGACTTAACTTACTAGGAGCACTAGGAGTGAAGACCCTCTCAGAACCACCTAAGATAAGTACCTTATTTCACCATGCTCTCAAATGAAATCTCTTTTATGCTCTGTCTTTTTTGCATATGTGTGGTAAAGCTCTAATTAAAAGTTTTATAATGGAGGCATACAATTCTCCAATTTCTTATTTGCTTGAATGGACTTTTTACCAGCTGAGGTGTTCACTCTGGCATGGGCTTATTCCAGACTCTGTAATCAGTGCACAATCTGTGCTTCACAAAGGCTGGCATCTTCTGTTGCCAGCTCCTTCCTTCCATACCTTTTCCGTGGGGTAATACATTTTAATTGGTACCTCTCTGTGAGCTCTTACATCTCCGTCTGGTCAAATAAACACTTTCTTTTTTTTTTTTTTTTTTAGATTCAGCCCTAACTTCTTGGAAGTTAAGAAGAGGATAGACTTGCCACAATAGGTTATCTTTAAGATGATAAAACCCCCATATTGGAGTAGAAGGTGCAGGAAATGAAGTGTTCACCTTAATATTGTTGTATCGACTAAAGGAAAGCAGGCATCAGCCCTGCTTAGCATGGAGCTTTGCTCAGATCCACTAACAGTTGTTACTTTTAGTAAGGTTGGTAGACTAAATTCCTTGGGCAGCAGAAAAGGCAAGGAATAGTGAACGGTGAACAGTTAGCAACTGGTTGCTGCCAATTAGCAGTGTGCAAGACTCATTCATCAAGCAGCACCATAAGGAATAACTACCAGACAATGTGGACTGGGTTCTCAGTCCCTCAATTAGTGTGGCCTCAGCTCTTTGAGGCTGGGGAACACAGCTGGGCAGAGCGTTTTTCCCCAACCTTCAGGGTCATTTGGGTAAAATCAAGTTACTTTCAGAGTAAAATCTCTCTTCTCTCACCTCTCCCTCCCTCCCTCCCTCCCTCCTTCCGTCCCTCCCTCCCTCCTTCCGTCCCTCCCTCCCTCCCTTCTTAAATACTGGAGATTGGACCTAGGACTTCTCATTTGCTTTGCCAGTACTCTACCACAAATCCATCCCGACCTTGCTCTCCTGATAACCAAAATCAGGCTAAAGACTCTTCTCTCTCTGTTCTGATTCTGTATCTCTCCTTTCACGCATCTTGCTCCTTTTTTTTGCACAACCACCCCAGTGAGAAGCCTTTCATAGAGCAGGGCAGAGATCGGATACAACTCTGTAAATTAGTACAGCGTGGGGGCATTTACCAAGAAGAAGGCCAAATAGAGCCACTGGCTCACAGACCCCTGTACATCTGAGGGTGCACAGCTGGTTCTTCATAATGGGGGCGGGGGACTACTCACCAGTTGCCTTTTCAGGGTTGTTGCACATGAAGCATTGCCATGCCCCTGCTGTTTCACTGAAGCCAAACACGTCAAAGAACCTCACTTCTTCCAGATGGAGCTGAACCTGGTCCAGATCCTGTTTCAGGAACACAAAGCACAAAGAAATGAGCATGCCTGCCTGCTCCAGAGCTCCTGACACCAGAAGAAGGGGATGTGAAGTTGGAATGGCCAATGCTCACTAGCAGAGCTGACACCAAGACAGCATTGAAAGGGGTTTCTCTTGGCCAGCCTTGGAAAATAGTGCTTAGCTCACTCTTCCATGGGATGGCTCTTCACTGTAGAGTGAGGGAACATAGCCTCAGGCCCAAGGCTTGGGGTACAGGGAGAGACACCGGAATCTGAAGTGGCTAAAATTTTACTGATTTGAAGTATCTCTAAAATTTTCATAAAGAAAGAAAGGCACTGAGCAACACTGTGGTTGAAGGAGATGTTGCTGGAGGAATGGCTCTATCTATGTATCTAGTTATCAATCTATGTATCATCTATCATCTCTCTATCTACCTATCATCTATCTATTATCTATCTATCTATCTATCTATATCTATCTATCTATCTATCTATCTATCTATCTATCTATTGTTTGTTTTGTTTTTTTTTTTTTGAGACAGGGTTTCTCTGTGTAATGTTCCAGGCTGCCCTGGAACTCACTTTGTAGACCAGGCTGGCCTCAAACTCGCAGAGATCCACCTGCCTCTGCCTTCTGAGTGCTGGGATAAAAGACATGTGCCACCATTGCCCAGTTGAATAGCTTTACATTTAAGTTGCATTTAAAGTCAAGAACTAGTTATTCATACCTCAGATATCATTTTCATAAGGTTGCTTTTTTAGAAAGTGATGGAAAATACAGGGATGGGCTCACTTTAATTTATTATTTTACATGTCAATCCCAGTTCCCTCTTCCTCCCTCCCTCCCTCTCTCCCTCTCTTCCTCCCTCCTTCTCTCCCTTTTATCATCTCTGCCCACTCACATGCACTCTAACCACCCTCCCCTCCCATCCCCCACCCCAATTCCATATGTAGGGGAATGCCATCCAGTTGGGGTCATGTAGATCTGACAGGACCTGTGAGGTAGGGACTAGGGCTTCTCTCCTGTCTCTAGATTAAGGCAGTTATCCCTCCATGGGGGATGTGTTCGCAAGGTCCTTTTGTGCACCAGGGATACATCCTGGCTCCACTGTCTGAGGTCCCTTAGACTGCTCAGTCCTTCTGGTTGAGACCCATATTCAGGGGGGCCTGAGTCAGTCCCATGCTGGCTTCCTTGCTATGAGTCTGGGGGGGCCCGTTAGCTCCTCCTTGTTCAGGTAAGCTGTCTCTATGTGTTTCTGTAGCCTGGTCTTGTCCTCTCCATCTGCATCTGGGGAACATAGTATGTACTCACTTGTACATGGATTTTAGACCTAGAGCAAAGGATCACCAGCCTATAATTCACACCACCAGAGGAACTAGGATACAAGGTGTATTCTAAGAGATTCACATAAAGTCCCTCACAGAACCGGGAAGGGACAAGTCCCCCAGAGCACAGGGGAAGCGGGGGGGGGGCAGCGAATGGAGAGAGAAGTAGGAGAAAGCAAGGGGGAAGAAAGGAAAACACGTGTGACTAGCGAGATTGAGACCGGTTAGGAATAGAAGACAGGAGAGAGAGAGACAGAGAGAGAGAGAGAGAGAGAGAGAGAGAAAACATAAAAGAGGGAGCCAATATTGGTTTTAAGATAAAATTGAACACAAAAGAAGGTCTAGAGAACTACAAGACTGCCGCCAACTAACAATTTGAGCATCTGTGGAAAGGCTACCATAAATGCCCTTCCCGAGAGTGAGGTCAACAACTAACTTATCCGTGGAGCCCTCATCTAATACCTGTTGGAAACAGGAGCAAACACCCATACATAAACACTGAGTCGAACAATCTTATTTTATATATTAATCCCAGTTCCCTCTCCCTCCTATCTTCCCATGCCCCCCCCCCCACCAGTCCCCATCCCATCACTCTTATGCTCCATAGAAAGGGTGAAGCCTTCCATGCTGGATCATCAAAGTCTGTCACATCATTTGGGGCAGGGCCTATGCCCTCCCCCCACCCATGTATCTAGGCTGAGAGAATCCCTCTGTGGGTAATGGGCTCCCAAATTTCATTTGTATACTAGGGATAAATCCTGTTCCAGTACCAGAGGCCCCATAGACTGCTCAGGTCTCATAACTGACACCCATGTTCAGGGGGCCTAGTTCTGTCCTATGCTGGTTTCTCAGCTGTCAGTCTGGGGTCCATGAACCCTTGTTCAGGTGAGCTGTTTCTGTGGGTTTCCCCAGCTTGGTGACACTTTTGTGCATCACTCTCTCCTCTCTACAACTGGATTCCAGAAGTTTGGCTCAATGTTTAGCTGTGGGTGTCTGCTACTTCTGTCAGTTACTGGGTAAAGGCTCTAGGATGGCATATAAGGTAGTCATCAATCTCATTATAGGGAAAGGGCATTTAAGGTAGCTTCTCCACTATTGCTTAGATTCTTAGTTGGAGCAAAAGAGGCTCATTTTTAGATGGCCTATTGCATGAGGCAGAGAAGAAAACTGGTCCTTTAGACTGTAAGTAGATGGAAAACCACTAGCCTAATGAAAAAAAAATTTCTCTACTGTCCTCCAGGGGCTTTCCAGTTATGATAACCCATATCCTGTGTTATCAGGCAGCAGGACAGCACTCTTGAAACCTTGGTCCTCCTAAGAAGGACTTGTATTCTTGCTACCCTTGCTTGCGTGCACCCCTTCAATGTATTTTATGTGTGGGCACTGGTGTACTGTGACTTCACTTTGCCTTTGGTTCTGAACTTTCATCTTTCTTTCTTCTAATAGTAACTCTTAGCATCTGGAAGGCCAAGAGATGTTTGTGGTGTTTGCATAGCTTAAGATGGACCAGAATAAAGAATGGACAATGGGTTATGCAGATCTTACTCCAGACCAACCACTTCTCCATCTGTAGACACAGATGAGAAGCATACTAGACTCTGAGCCATTTGAGACCTGCTGCATCCCGAGTATCTAGTATAGCCCTGGGAATGGAGTAGCATAATTTGGTTTGTAGGCCCAGTACAAATCCCATTTGCCAAAGAACTATATGAAAGGCATAAAGACAATTTAACAATTCTTTTTAGAGAAAATTCATGCTCACCATAAGATAAACAAAATGGGGACAGGGATTTTGTTTGTTGTATTGGATGTTTGAAAACTCAGCCTCTGAAAGTGTTTGTCATATAAACAAGTATTAAAGAAACCCTTCTAATGAAAACCACAGATCAGACCTTTTAGCATCTTTACTAAGACAACTGTGCTTTACAATCTCGGATTAAGATTTAATATTCTGAATACAGGATTTTGGATTCTTAACATTAGATGCATTTCAATAGCTCCTGCATATGTGTATGTGCCGCACACACTTACTCATGAATGAATGTTGTTTTAACAAAATGATTTAGAATGTGTTTATTGGGAAAAAAGAGACTTCTTTTTTAAAGCACATTCCCCAAGACAAAGACCAAAGAAGCACCTGGGAGCTTTGTATGTTTCAAAGGATAAAATCCATATTAAAATTTATGGGGAGAAAGCAGATGTTCATAAATATCTGTTTCAAAACTGCAAGGTCTCTGAAGTCTGTCCGTGGCCATCGGCATGCAGATCAGTCTTTGTTTCTCACACAATTAGAGATCAATTCTTCATTCCCAGCAAACACTACTAGCAAACAAAGTACTTAAATAATACGTAGAGCTTTCTTTATTTTTCCTGTTCTGAGACCAGGAATGTCCCAGGTTGTTGCCCATAATCCACACTTGCCTTGGCAAAAAGTTACTTGAGAAGTTTAAGACAGATGGTGGGCTGCATCCCAGTGCTTGAGTTCTGAAGCCAAGAGCAGGTTTAGCTATTCAGAGGATTGAGGTGTTATGCAAAGGGATCAGAGTGAGGAAGATAGATGGTAGTTATAGGAACTATTGCAGTTGGCAACAACAGCCAACTTTAAATAGACAGATGAAGCCCATGCAATTTCAAATATCAGTGGAAAACCAAAGCAAGTTACAAAACAAGCAAGTATAGACTACCAGTGATAACTTTTGGGATTTGTATTTCTTAAATGTGCTTTGGGTCATTATTTTTAACTTACCTTTACCTTTCTGAGTGCCCAATTTTGCCCCAGAAATGACATATGGCCCTATCTCCTTTCCTGTTCCTCATCCTTTCATCTTCAAAACAAGAGAACTTGTTTTAAAAATTAGTTTAGAAAATCACAAACTTCCTTTTAGGTATCTAAACAACAGAAGAATGATAAAATAGTTCATATCTAATTCTCCATCCCTCTCTGGGTATTTCAGTTCTGATGGGATTGTGGCAGATGGGCCCTCAGATGACCTACCAACAATTTTCATGTCTCAGTGTTCAGCTGTTTGTATAATCTTTTACCCTTGAGTAGTGGAGGCTCCTGTGGTTTTTTTTTTTTTTTTTTTTTATGAAGGCAAAGACGACAGGATATCAGTTTCATAACACACACACACACACACACACACACACACACACACACCTTACATACATAAGATCCATCTTGCTAGCAGACACGTAAAGAATGAGCCTTGAAGAAACAAGAAACTTGAAACTTTAAGTAGCTTCTAGTAGGTAGCAAGAGATCAAGAACTGTGTCCAATAACAAATAAGTGTTTTTGCTAGCACCCTGGTCTTTTGTCTATTCTCAAAGAAAGATGGTCCTACTTAGAAGAGTCAGTCTCCCAGGTACCCTTCAAATCAGGTCTCTGTAAAACCTGAGTGACAATGCGCTCACATTGTTTATGTGGACTTAGGAAAGAGTTACATAATAATACCAGTAAACACATTCTGAGAAGGATTTCTCTAGTAAGTGTCACCTAATTAAAAAGGCTAAGAAGTCACTAGAGGGAAAATGGTCTTGTAAAACAGTTGTTTAGATGTTTGTCTCCAACTTTAGAAAAAAGTAATTAATGAAATGAAAAATCAGGAAAACCATAAGGAAGTCTTTTGTAAATCCACGTAGAGAAAAATTAACCAGGCAGTGGGGGAAAGATGAGTGGACAT